ATCTTGCTCTGTAGGGTCTTTCCACTCAAGACCATACCGAGCAGGGGAGGGCGGAGATGTCTTCCATGACAGGATGAATTGGTATGTGAATGCATATGCTTGCACAACGTGCAGATGTCGCTACCGGAGTTCGTCGATGAACTGTGATTCATTCCAGCAGAGCGTGAGTTTGATCATTTTTGGTTCAGCGTTAGTGCCCACAGGGATACCGACCACCTGATGTCGCAGAGTGTCATCCGTTGTATAAAGATATGTATTGGAGACTTCAAACCGCAAATGCTACTCAATTTCTAACACTGAGAGGGTTTCAGAGTCATGCGAAGTAACCCACTCCCTGGGATGAGAACCTCCTATAGTCATGTATATTAGTATTGGCCTTCTTCCCTCTGGGATTCGCCCCAAGGCATAATCATGTGCCTGAAAAACAACATTTAGGACATTGTTCAGAATCTTGTTGTGCGACAAGTTTGTGTACGTTGTAGTGAAATCCGCTATGTGTGCCATTGTGTGGTGTACAACCTCGAAGGGAGTGTGCATTCTGCTTGAGGTCCAGAATGACTTCCTCAACACTTTGCATGATCTAGTAACGTCGTACACCACTTTCTTGATAAAACTTATTATCCTTACTGGAAGTTACTGCGCAGAGACTTGATCACGCCTTGGAGGGCATAGCTAACCAAATGGGAGGTTATTGTTGTACTTGCAAGAGGTATACGAGGAAGCCTGTTAATGCAGGTCCGAGACTTAAGGTTGATGAGGTGTTGAGCCGCCTTGAGCGAGGTGCGGATCGGGAAAGGTTGTTTCACTATTAATTCCAAGAATTAGACGTAGAGCGGGTGGGAATTTGTTTGCTTTGAGTGTGAAGTAGAGATAAGAAAGAGTGTCAGTACGTTGATAACCCCAACATTGATTGCAAAGTGCATGGCGTTCGTGAACGCTGACCATAAACTTCGATGCTTGATTGTAGGTAGGACTATCAAGATGCTGTGATAACTTATATGCGTACCGGCGTTTGCAGTAAATGGTCATGTTGCGTGATGTTTTATCGACAAGTACTATTGCAAATTGTGCTTGTAGCCGATGAAAAAATGTGTTGGCAGCTCATGAGGCAGCCTGAGAAGGTGCTTGGTAGGATGACGCAGAAAAATTCCTTTAGCATCTTGAAAGAATTGTTGCGCGCCATCTGCGCAGCTGAGATAGACAGTCAATAATTACAACTTTATTGTTGCCTGTTGATCTCATGGTTGCTATAAACTTGCAATATACTCATCCAGACCGAGCTTCAACGCTTTCATCACGTCTGTGGTGTCGACATGGAGGGAGCCTTCAAAGAAGACTGCCTGCAGATGTGTATCTTGTATAATAGTGTCCACTGTAACCACATGACCATTAACAGTGTCTGCACAACGTGTATTCCGAAATGCTTGTCGACACAGATAATTACTGAGGTCTGGAGGAGGCATATTGTTTGTTATGTTCTGTGCCACTTCTGTAAAATTATAGAACAAGACACGAATGGGTGACACCATCTTATCACAAATACACATCTCCTTGTCAAGAGCAAGCCGTGGATGTAATTCAGCGACCTCCGTTAGCTGAAGGACGACTTGTAATTGTGTGGTTCGAGCAACCTGATTCATGTGCACAACCGTGATAAAGTTTAAGAATGGAGCCCTATCATGTGCAGGACTAAAATACAGTTGGCCTGAATATTGCAAACCACGTATCAGGCAGTGCCAGGCATTCTAGTTGACGAATGTTCGGTGTGAGCTCGGAGTTTGAGACGTTTGTTTGCAACCATTACAGCAAGCGAGAACGTCAGGCTGAGGTGGCTTGCCATTCTGAATTGGTCGCTTGAGTAAGCATGCGATGTAGGGCTGAGCGCACAACATGGAATGGATCTGGGGCAATGTCAATCTGGAAGGGTCTGTCATCAAGACTTTGCGTTGCGGGACAAGTCACGGAAGGAGGGTTCAGACAGCCTCTCGAAGGAATCCACCTGTTTGAACGATGAAATCGTCTAACAAGTGGTAGTCGCCCTTGTGGGAGGACGTTGTTGAAGTCACGAGGGTATAGGATGGCCAGGCACCGTACCCAAAACCCCTCATGAGGAGTAGCCGCACTTTGAGGATTCAATTTGTTGAAACTGTAAGTCTTCAGATAGAGATGAGGGGTTGTACACTTCAAGGGTCAGACAACAAAATGAAATGGAGGTTGCCTAGCCATGGAATGATAGAGATGACTGCGCCGCAAGTGAGTCACTGAGTCATATGAGATGAGTAGCGGGAGTGTCAATGCTGGCATAGAATATGGTGAGCAAAGCATGTGGTTTGTCCAATATATGTGCGACGAGATGGTATGTAGAATAATAGCTAAATAACCCAGGAACTGAAAGAGCATCCAATCCTGGTTAAATGGGGTTTTGATCAATTCCACGTAATTGCAATTCAAATCGTTCTGCCTGGGCTGCAGCTAGCACATAGCGGAGTCGCTTTTTGAACCAGCACCTTGCGTCATAGAGACTAGTGTTCCAGTCATGATGGGCAACCCAGTCAACTCTATTGTAGGTTGTCGTGCATAGCAGTCATGAAAGGAAGAGCGAGAGGGGTCACCATAGAGAGGATCGTAATCCCTTTCAACATAGAATTCGTGAAAACCTAACAAAATAAATTGTTAGGTTTGCACGAAAATTTTTAAAGATTCTGATAATACTTTTTTCAGGCCTCCTACATGAACAAAATTTTATGTACAGTAAATTAACCGCAAAAAAGGAATAGAAAAGTACTTTTTCAGAACCACAAGAAGGGATGAGGAGAGAAGCAAGTTGTTTTACAAAAAATCAGTACCTTGCAAAACACAGTTAATTCAGAAACTGAAATATCACAATTTTTTGTTTAACTGAAAAAATCATCTCTATACATACTAAAGCAAACAAAGGGTCTCGCGACATGGTCGGTCGCGGGCCCAAGGGAAACCGTTTGGGACACAAAGCGTAGGCGGGGGGCCGCGGGGTCGAGGCCGGCGGAGAGGAGAGGGCGGCCTTTTTGCCTGGCACGGAGGAAAAAGCCGCGCGTAGGGAAAAAAAGCCGAGGGGTCGATTGTGAGGTTCGCGCGCGGGCACGCGCGCAGGGAAAAGTCGGCCGCGCGTACGAAAGCTGCACGCAGGAAAAAGCCGCGCGCAGGGAAAAAAAGTCGTCCGCGCGTAGACAAAAGGTGGCCGTGCGAACGAAAAAGTTGGCGGGCGTGGGTGCGCGCGTATGGAGCACTGGCCCACGTGCGTGGATGCCTCGGATGGCGTGTGTATGTGGGACATGGCATGACATGCGTGCCTGTCGATGCAACGGAACGCTGGAGTGAAAGGCGCGGAAGCTTGGTATCGATGCCGACATGCGGAAAAGCGGATGCAAGCGGGGGGGCCTCGGATGGCGTGCGTGTGTGGGACATGGCATGACATGCGTGCCTGTCGATGCATGCCGTGACATGCGTGCCTGTCGATGCATGTCGATGCCCGCCGATGCGAAAGTACCGAAGGGGAGGTGCGGGCGTCGATGTTGGCACGTGGTTAAGGAGAGGAGAAGGAGGAGAAGCCGAAAAGAAGCAACGAGGGGGGAGATAACCGTGACTTACGTCAATTATGAGAGAGAGAGAGAGAGAGAGAGAGAGAGAGAGAGAGAGAGAGAGAGAGA